ATGAGGGGTGGTTGTAGGAGTAATTATTGGTGAATTGGTTGGAGTAGTGTTGGTAGGTTGTGTAGTAGTGGATGGAAGTGGAGTTGTAAGAAGAGTTGTAGGGACTGCTGTTGTTGTTTCTATTTCTGGTGATAGAAAATGAAACAATAATTAGTGACACTCAAAAGCAGAGGACATTACAGTTGTAGATCTAAAAGACTAGATGTTAGCAGGGACTGAAACTAAGCTTCTTCCTGTCATGATGTACTTTAGGTTAACTTGTTTTGAAATGTCTACCATACTGTATATTCTTGTCTAACCATTATTCTCTTAACAATAATAACAACAATAATAATAGTAATCAAAGTATCTTTTCAAAGCACTTTACTGGGAAATTAAAAACAAAACAAAAGAAGGTACTGAGGTGCCAAGCAATTACAGCAATATAGGTGAGCATGAGGATTTAGAAGTCAGAACGAAGGGTGGTGCAGTAATTCTAGAAAATTACAGACAAATGTGCTGACCAGTTTTTCCACTACAGTCAGTGACGGAATAGGACATAGTCTGGTGATATTTCTAGGGTGGAAGCAGATGGTTTTACAACATTTTGCACATGGGGGTCAAACGTCAAGCCTGGATCCAATATCACCTCCAAATTCTTCAGTTTAGATTGTAATGCAAGTACTGTGTCGTCTAGGATTTTAGGTCAGAGATGCAATTAGAGAGAGTGAAAAAACAGCTACTTCATTGTCAGGTTAAGTATGGACATAGATTTGAGTATCTTTGGCATAGAAATGATCATTCAGACAACGTAATTTTAATAGCTGACCAATTGGAAACATGTAAATGCTGAATGGTTGGGGGCCAAGTGATGAACACCAGACTTAACGAACATGAACGAATGTCAGAAACTCCACATACAGTCTCAAGATGAAAAAGTAAGATGCCACGATTTACTATCAAAAGCAACACTGAGGTCAAGGAGAATAAGGATAGTCAGAGAATCTGCAGTCATAAGAAGATTGTAAATGACTTTAACATAGGCATTTTCGGTGCTGAGTAATTGTCTGAAACCAGATTAGAGGGGATTTGCAATGAGGCAGGTGTTTAATTGAATTACACCAGCACATTCTGAAGATTTTGCAAGCTAGTTCTACAGAGAGATTGCAAAGTGAAGTGAAAGACGGCCATGCTGCTTCTTCCTTACTTGTTGCCTGGATTGCTGAGGTGTTCAGTGGCAGAGTAAAGTTGGTGAGACTGGAGTTTTCACTCGCTTCCACAAGAGTTTTGATTATAGCAGTGCCAGTAAGAGTTGTGTTTGAGCTCCTGAATTCCAGCTGTGTGTCTGCGATAACAGATCCTGGCCTGTCCGGGGAAAAGAAGGAGATTTAGCTCACCTCCCGCAGGCTTTTATCACTAGTGTGAACTGTGTTAACACTGATGCCACAGTCTCTGAGGATTTACTGAGTGATCGAAAGTCAAGTGGACCAGTGTCCTCCCACTGACTTCTAATTTTAAATGATTGTATTGGGTGATATCTATTATTTGAATTATTAATAATTGACAATTATTTGAATTGTAGTAACTTTAAAACCGACCTGTTTTTCTGGATATCTTTAGACATTATGCCTGCAAAAACGGATTCAAACCTGAATGAATTTGGTAATGAATAGTTAAGGAATGAGTCCCACTGTTACACCACGACAAAAAACAAACTGTAGGTCTAAGTCATTTCAGAATTAGAGGGAATTGTCCTCAATTGAATGAAACCTACAAGACAAGAGTATGTAGAGGGCAAGAGAGTGACTCAGCTAACTGGTCAGCACTCAGCAGAATTAAATTCCTTACCTGAATCCTAACAAGATGACGCCAATGAAAATAGATCCATACTTCGTTCTGTACACGAAATCAAGCTATGAGTGAAAAAGGAACAAGTTTGAATTTTGTGGATTACTCCACCTCGGCTGTCACTCAACTGAGAGAAAGAAATGGATACTTAAGACCAATGTAAGACTCTTAAGTTTGTTTAATTACTTTGTTTGAAACTGCAAGATCTGTGACTTTTCTCCTGGCTGCAATACAGGAATTGTGTGAGAAACGTACTTCCGTATTTTCAGAGTGTAACAGCCCTCTACTGGTCCTCAAAGGATGGTGTCACCCTGAAGATTTTCCCCTGTGCAACTCCTTTCAGTCACCTCTTATCTGAGTATGACAGTTATGGAGGAGTCGCTGGGTAAAGATCGTGAACAAAACTCTCCTGTTTCTGTCTCTTTTGTCTTCCTAAAGAACCACTCCCAGAATCCTAGTGCAGAGTCAATCTCACGGAATGTAAAGATAATTTGATATACGTTTGTTTTGGTCTGGGTTGCTTTTTATGATATTCTGTTTGTTTGCATTATCATTATTTCACCTAAAATGTTAGCAAGAGGGTGAGGAATCCCAAACCAAAGACTCACTGCAAACCATGCTACTTCTGTTCTTTCCCAGGGATTCAGGAAATATCCAGCTGTTCATCTTAGACTTTTGAGTTGCTTAGACTTAGACTCTTGCATTTATTTCTTAACTTTGACTTGACTTTCTTACTTGCTGTCTAGAATGCTTGTACTAGTCGGTTTCTGATAATCTGTGGAGCAGTATTAAATAAACCTTCACCCAGCTGTATACCTGATACAGCCAGACTGTTACTTTTGGCAGAGGGACCCATTGATACCTACCTGTATTGTAACAGTCGCTGCCAATTGATGAAATTCCTTAGAGGAGCGGTCGTTCAGCTGAGGCATGAAATTCATTGCCATGGTGAACACCAGTTTAAATATTGTTGAAACTGCAGGTACAGGTGTTGTTGTCACTGCTCGTGGAAAAGACAATGGGAGATATAAACTCTCGTGTGCAAATTTATTAACGTCAGTGAACAAATCAGATTGCATTAATCTTAAACAGTTAATAAAAAATTAACGTTTGTAATAGGGAATATGTCAATCACACATAACAAAGTTTATCAGATAAGATACTGCATACTTAATGAAAACTAAGAATCATAATGCATGACCCAAATCTAATCACAGTGCTGGTAATACCTCTTAAAATTGAGTGTTTGGCTAGACGTGTATATACTGTATATATCAATGTTTACTTGTTCTTTTAATGTTAAAGCACTTATCCAGTCAGTGTTGAAGTGACAAATGAGATATTCATTCTGTGATTTTACAAAGCAGATCAGTTTGCCTTACATTACCTGAGCAG